ACGGTACCAGGGCCATGAACTGGAATCCTCTGCCTCATCCCCAGAGTCTGGGAAATAGAGAAATCTCCTGGCCACACTGCTGGCCACAGAGGGCACTGCTCCCATAGGTCTTCCTCCACTCCTGCTGTGACATCAGAGATTTTATGAAAGACCCAGGAATCTCAAAACAAGGAATCGCAACTTGAAAATCTTTAGAAACCACAGTTTACTCTTTTCCAATCAGTGGAGACCCTCAGGGTTCCTGGGGACCTAAACCCTGGCTTCTCTTGGTGTTCACAGGTTCCTCAAAGTAACTGGTTCACAACTTTGGCTGCTTTAGAAATAGTCATTGAGGCCGGGTGCCATGGCTCACACCTATAATTCCACTTTTGGAGGCTGAAGTGGGAGAATCACATGAGTTCAGGAGTTCAAGACCAGCCTAGGCAACATAGTGAGACCCACCCCATGCCCCTTGTTTCACTACACAAAAGTTTAAAAACTAGCTGGGCATGGTGGTGCACATCTGTAGTCCCAGCTGCTTGGGAGACTAAGGTAGGAAGGACCGTTTGAGCCCAGAAGGTCAAGACCGCAGTGAGCTGTGATCACACCACTGCACTCCAGTCTGGGCAAAAGAGGGAGACTCTGACTCAGAAAGAAAGAGAGAGAGAGAGAAAAAAGAAAGAGAGAGAGAGAGAGAAAGGAAGAAAGAAAAAAGAAAAAAGAAAGAAAGAAAGAAAAAGAAAGAAAGAAAGAAAGAAAGAAAGAAAGAAAGAAAGAAAGAAAGAAAGAGAAAGAAAGAAAAGAAAGAGAGAGAAGGCCAGGCACGATGGCTAATGCCTGTAATCCCAGAATTTTGGGAGGCCAAGAAGGGGCAGATCACCTGAGGTCAGGAGTTCAAGACCAGCCTGGCCAAATACAGCAAAATCCTGTCTTTACCAAAAAAGAAATACAAAAATTAATGTGGCGGCACATGTCTGTAATCTTGGCTACTTGGAAAGCTGATGCAGGAGAATCTCTTAAACCCAGCAGGCAGAGGTTGCAGTGAGCCAAGATCACACCACTGCACTCCAGCCTGGGTAACAGAGCAAGACTCCATCTCTCAAAAAAAAGGAAAAGAAAAAAAGAGAAAACAGCTGCTGCTCAATACCTATGTCCACCAAAAGCCATACACAAGAACATTCTTAGCAGCTTTAGTTATAAATAGCTAAACACTGGAAAAACAGAAATGTCCGTCAGCTGGTGAATGGCTAAACAAACTATGGTAAGCTTTACGGTAGAACATGGCTCAGCAGCAAAAATTACCTACCTACATGCATGATCCTCACCGACAGGGAGGGGCAGGTCGCCAGGCACCAATGCACACTGTGGTTATATGGGTCAGAATATGTGCACCTGGGAATGCAGGTGGGGGGACTGTCCGCATAGGAGATTCTTGGTGTATTGGCCGTATTCTATATCTTGGTCTGGATGGTAATTAACATGGATTTATATACACACATACATGTAAAGATGCATTGAGTTGGCCAGGTGTGGTGGCTCATGCCTGTAATCCCAGAACTTTGGGAGGCCGAGGTGGGTGAATCACCTGAGGTCAGGAGTTCAAGACTGGCCTGGTCAACATGGTGAAACCCTGTCTACACTGAATATACATAAATTAGCTGGGTGTGGTGGCACATGCCTGTAATCCCATCTACTAAGAAGGCTGAGGCAGGAGAATCACTTGAACCCCGGAGGCTGAGGTTGCAGTGAGCCAAGATCACTCCATTGCACTCCAGCCCAGGTGACAAAGCAAGACTCTGTCTCAAAAAAAAAAAGAAATTGCATCTAACTTTTCAGATCTCCTGAGACTTAAAAAAAGAGAAAAGATGCATTGAGTAGTAACCTAAAGATCTGTGCACTTTTCAATATGTATATTGTACACCAAGAAAAGAATCAAAAGTAAAATACTGACTCCTGGGCGTCATCCCAAGGTATCTGACGACATCAGTCAGGGGCATGGCCTGGGTGAAGGAAGTTTTAAAAGCCTTCCAGAGGATTCTGTGGGCTGCAGGAGTAAGCCCTCCTCTCCCTGCTCCATATGCTGGGCTCTGGCTCCCTGGCTCTGACCCTGGCTCCTGCAGGAGGACCTCATTGTAAAGGGACAGCCTAGAGCCGCCGGAAGCCTGCAGGCTCCCCAGTCAGAGCCTAGTTCCATCACTTCTAACTCCGTGATCTCAGGCAAGAAACATCCATGTCTCTAAACCTCAGTGGGATTTTGTTTGTTTTGTTTTGCTTTGCTTTTTTCTTCAGTGCCTGGCAGGAAGTTATTCCTATATCTCACGGGACATATTAACATCTCATGTACAATATGGGGTGGGAGTGGAAAGGGTGGGGTTGGTCCTTATCAAAGTAATCTTTTGGCGGGGCATGGTGGTTCACGCCTGTAATTCCAGCAATTTGGGAGGCTTACGCCGGCAGATCACTTGAGGTCAAGAGTTCGAGACCAGCCTGGCCAACATGGTGAAACCCCATCTGTACTAACAATACAAAATTTAGCCGGGCATGGTGGCAGGTGTGCCTGCAATCCCAGCTACTCAGGAGGCTGAGGCAGGAGAATGGCTTGAACCCAGGAGGCAGAAGTTACAGTGAGCCAAGATCGCACCACTGCATTCTAGCCTGGGGGATAAGGGTGAAACTCCATCTGAAAATAAATAAATACATAAAATAAAAGTAATCACTTTAAAACATACATGGGGGGTCCAAAGTGGCTCCCGCCGGAGGTCATGGCACTCACGAAGGTGAGGTCATCAGTTCAAAGCTAACCTGAGCAACCTCATAAGCTCAAACTGATTGGCAAAAAAAAAAAAAAAAAAATACATGGAATCCTGTCACTACTGCCTGAAACATTTCCACGGCTTTTTGTTGCACTTTGAATAAAATCCTGATGCCGCAGGGCATGGTGGCTTACGCCTGTAATCCCAGTACTTTGAGCGGCCAAGGCAGGTGGATTGCCTGAGCTCAGGAGTTCGAGACCAGCCTGGGCAACATGGTGAAACCCCATCTCTACTAATATACAAAAAGTAGCCGGGCTTGGCAGTGTGCACCTGTAATCCCAGCTACTTGGGAGGCTGACACAGGAGAATCACTTGAACCTGGGAGGCAAAGGTTGCAGAGAGCCGAGATTGCACCACCGCACTCCAGCCTGGGTGACAGAGCGAGATGCCATACACCAAAAAAAAAAACAAAAAAAAACTCTGATGCCTTCCTGAGGTCAATGTGCAGTCCAGCTTCACCTTGGTCACCATGCCCTAACCAGGGCTGAAAGGCTGGCTGCCTTTCAGCGCAAGCTCCTTCCTGCATCAGGGCCTTTCAGAGGCCCTGTTCCCCCTTCCCAGTTCATCCCAGTTCTCTGTAGGTTTCAAACATCACCTCCTCATTCCCCATTACTCTCTGTCACCATGGGCTGATCATTTTCTCCATAGCTCTCAGCACATGACAGAGGTATTCGTTGCACATGACAGAGGTATCTGTTGCTTGTGGTGGTTTCCCGGTGTGCTCATGTCCCCATTCAGCCCCATCATCTGGCCCAGGGCTAGGGACCCAGTGCCTAACTGTGGAATGGAATTCAGCAAACTCCATGAGGCACTGGCATCTCAGAAGGTTTTGGTAATGGCAGAGATATTATTATTCACTTCCTTCCTTACTCATAGTCTCTTGTTTCCTCCACTCGCCATGCAGTTACTGTTAATTTTGAAACATTTGTTAACTAACATGTGAGACATCATGCTAAATGCTAGAAAGGACACCGAGAGAGGGGAAGGCATGGTCCCTGACCTCGGGGAGGTGCCATCCAGGATGGAGACACCAAGGCAACGCTATCATTCCAGGGTGACTGGGCAGTGCTGTGGAGTTCCTCCTTGTCCCCTCCTCACTCCTCATCCTCTCTAGGTGACCTCAGAACCTCACAGGGTCTTAGATGACGCCCTTCCCTCATCTGACCCAGCTCTCTTCCACAGGACACATTCAGAACTCTTCATCCAAAATTAAACTGTGCATTTGCACCAGGGTGTCTCAAAGGAACCTCACATGCAACAAAATCTAAAACTGAATTCATCTCTCATAAACAATTTAGTGGTCTTTCAGATAAATAGAAGCATAGATCACTGGGGAAATGGTGTTGAGATACTGGCTAAACCCTTTGGAGGGAAAATGCTTTACATCAGAGAACATTCCAGGAGGATAAAAGATGTAAACATAAAAAATGAAGTCGACTGAGCACGGTGGCTAACGCCTGTAATTCCAGCACTTTGGGAGGCTGAGGCGGGCAGATCGCCTGAGTTCGGGTGTTTGAGACCAGCCTGACCAACATGGAGAAACCCCGTCTCTACTAAAAACACAAAACATTAGCCGGGCATGGTGGCACATGCCTGTAATCCCAGCAATTTGGGAGGCTGAGGCAGGAGAATCGCTTTTTCTCGGGAGGTCGAGGTTGCAGTGAGCAGAGATCGCACCATTGCACTCCAGCCTGGGCGACAATAGCGAAACTCTGTCTCAACAAAAAAGATCTATTTGTGTGAGTGAGTGCCTATGAATTTGGAAAAATGTATACGAAAATGTTAATAGCCATTTTTTTGGTTGATTGGATTATGTTTCTAGTCTTTTACTGTTAGCTGATTTGTATGTTCTCTCTCTTTTCTTGCTCAAAGAGCATATATCACTTGCATAATAAATTTCATTTTGGGCGGGAAAAAAAGAAGAAGCGTTCCTAAAGGGAAGGCCCAAAATGAGTGACCTCGTATTGATAAAGCACGCAAGGTCAGAAGTTCCGGGTGGCGGTTTCCCCGTGCGTGCGTGCGTGCGTCCCTCAGGCGGTCAGGCTCTGTGGTCAGAGCAGCCAGTTTCTCAGGCACCGCCGAGGCCGCCCCAGGCTCCTCGCGGGTCCTGGCGCCGGGCGGGCCTACGCCAGCCCGGAAGAGACGCAGCGCTGCGCATGCTCTTTCCTTTCCAGCTCCGACCCCGGACCCTACAGTCGTCGCGGTGAGTTTCTGTAGAGTTCGAGTTCCATCGGCCCCCATCCGGGCCATCCTGCCGCCTTAGCGGCTGCTTCTCCCCAGGACGCGGGCAAGGGGCCTCTCTCCCACTCCCCACACACCCATTTCTGAGTAGCGACAGGGGCTGGAGGTCTATTTTATGGGGTAGGGGGGCCGCTGGTACGGAGATTGTCCGAGGGAGGAGGGAAGGATGAAGCCAGTGTGTGGCTGAGACGAGCCAGACGAGACTAGAGAGATAGTGTCCCGGCGACCCCCTTTTTCCTTGGGGACAGGACTCCCCCCGACTGCCTCCATGCTTGGCCCTGGAGCTCTAGTTTTGGGGCGGAGTGGTTGGTAGGAAACGAGTGTGCAAAGGCCTTAGCCCTTCGGTTTGGGGTCTGCCGCCTTCAAGAAGCGGGGGCTTGACTCCTCCGGGTCTTGCCTGCACACCTTATGGTAAGCTGTGCGCTTCGGTGATGAGTGCAGTCGCTGATGGCCTCCGACTGCTCCGGATAATACAGGGTCTGCGCCTCTTTCCCTCCCTCCCATTGACCTCTGTGATTGTGAGAACTTGGGGAAGTTTGGTGCGAATGTGCACCCCTCTCCTGCTTTTGTATTAATGTACTGGCAACTTTTCCAAATGAACTTTTTGGAGGTGTGGAGGGATGGAGTTGGTCTCTGCCGAAATCTGTTGGGCAGCGTGTAGTCCTTATACCGGCAATGCTGTCTATGGTTTTGTGTGGACACTTGATGACCGGGCCCCAGCCACATCACTCAGAAGTGCTCTTGACAGTCGCCTCATTCTTACAGATGTTGATGCCTAAGAAGAACCGGATTGCCATTTATGAGCTCCTTTTTAAGGAGGGAGTCATGGTGGCCAAGAAGGATGTCCACATGCCTAAGCACCCAGAGCTGGCGGACAAGAACGTGCCCAACCTTCATGTCATGAAGGCCATGCAGGTAGGAGGGTGAGGAGAAAGGCTGTGGGATGACATGGGATGGGATGGCGGGATCTTCCCTTAATGTTAAGGCAAGTTCCAAAGGGGAGGTCGTGACTGCCGGAGCTGCTTGCTAACTTGAAGAGCAGGGACTGAGGACTTATGTAGGATGATCCAAGCTTCTAGTTAGGCCTTAACAGTAGTTTTCTGCCTTGCAGTCTCTCAAATCCCGAGGCTACGTGAAGGAACAGTTTGCCTGGAGACATTTCTACTGGTACCTTACCAATGAGGGTATCCAGTATCTCCGTGATTACCTCCATCTGCCCCCAGAGATCGTGCCTGCCACCCTACGCCGCAGCCGTCCAGAGACAGGCAGGCCTCGGCCTAAAGGTATGATGCCCAAACAAATGCCTCCAGCTATTTAAGGATAGTTTTGTATAAGGGACAGAAGCATTCTTAGCTGGTGTCAGCTTTAGAGGGCTCTGGCCTGCAGGAATTTGGTCAAGTGCTAGAACCTTTGGCCCATGGCTTGGGACCTGGACTAGAACTAGACTTAGTTCTTCAGGCCGTCTATGAGATAGTCTTGAGCACAAATAGTCTGTCGCTCGCTTTCTTTCTTTCTTTCTTTCTTTTTGAGACGGAGTTTTGCTCTTGCTACCTAGGCTGGAGAGCAATGGCGCGATCTCGGCTCACCGCAACCTCCGTCTCCTGGGTTCAAGCAATTCTCCCGCCTTAGCCTCCCGAGTAGCTGAGACTACAGATGTGTGCCACCATGCCCAGCTAATTTTTTGTATTTTTAGTAGAGACGGGGTTTCACCATGTTGACCAGGATGGTCTCGATCTCTTGACCTTGTGATCCACCCACCTCCGCCTCCCAAAGTGCTGGGATTATAGGCATGAGCCACTGCACCCGGCCTCTTTTTTTAAGACGAGGTTTCTCCATGTTGGTCAGGCTGCTCTCGAACTCCCGACTTCAAGTGATTCGCCCGCCTCAGCCTCCCAAAGTACTGGGATTCCAGGTGTGAGCTACGGCGCCTGGCCTAGTCTGTCACTTTCTTCACTCACACCCGTACAAACATCCAGACACATAGAGTAACTTTTCCAGCGGAATCAGTTGTACTATCCCCAAGAAGTCCAAAGCAAAGCTATTTACCACCTTGAAAGAAACAAGAGTTTTGTAGTTTTCTTGCCAACAGGGCAAAAATGTTTAAAAAGTGGAATGGAGAACCAGTAGTGTATGCTACAGTGTGAAAGGAAATGCACTTGTGTGTGGTGTGAGGAAATTATCTTCTGAATCTTGAGATCATTGCTGGTTAATTTTTTTTTTTATACAGAGTTATGCTCTCTTGTCCAGGCTGGAGTGCAGTGGTGAGCCACTGTGCCCAACCTGCATTTGGTCTGGGTTATGGTTCCTTTTTTTTCTTTTTTAAAGAGACAGGGTCTCGCTATGTTGCCCAGGCTGCAGTGCAGTGGCTATTCACAGGCACAATCCCACTACTGATTAGCACAGGAGTTTTGATCTGCTCCCTCTTTGGGCAACTGGTGGTCCCCCACTCCCAGGGGTTATGGTTCTTTGTTATAAAACTTTGTAGGAGTTGCAGAGAGCATAGATTGAGATGACAAAATGCACATATTCTTAAGGTCACCAGAGAGAGTCCAGGTTCCCCTGGAGAGTGTTTGTGAAGCTCAGGAATTTATTTGTTGTGAAAGCTCCCCAGTGGATTCTGGTGGTTAGGTAGACTTAATGTATCTATTTTTTTTTGAGATGGAGTCTCACTCTGTTGCCCAGGCTGGAGTACAGTGGTTAGATCTCGGCTCACTGCAACCTCCACCTCCCAGGCAATTCTGTATCAGCCTCCTGAGACTTGCGATTATAGGCACCTGTCGGCTAATTTGCATTTTTAGTAGACATGGGGTTTCACCATGTTGGTCAGGCTGGGCTCGAACTCCTGACCTCAGGCGATCCGCCCACCTCAGCTTCCCAGAACAGTGTTAGGATTACAGGCATGAGCCACCGCTCCCAGCCCATAATGTACCTTTTTTTTTTTTTTTTTTTGAGACAGAGTTTCGCTCCTGTTACCCAGGCTGGAGTGCAATGGCGCAATCTCGGCTCACCACAGCCTCCGCCCCCTGGGTTCAGGCAATTCTCCTGCCTCAGCCTCCTGAGTAGCTGGGATTACAGGCATGTACTACCGTGCTCAGCTAATTTTTTGTAATTTTTAGTAGAGACGGTTTCACCATGTTGACCAGGATGGTCTTGATCTGTTGACCTCGTGATCCACCCGCCTCGGCCTCCCAAAGTGCTGGGATTACAGGCTTGAGCCACCAGGCCCGGCCCATAATATACCTTTTTAGCAGAAGTTCTGTACTACATCGTGGAATCACCTGGGGACAAAAAAGCAGTGCCTACCTGTACTTGGTATGTTCTGATTTAGTGGGGCCTGACATTTATTTTTGCCACTCACTACATGGTTAATTTATTTCTGCTTTAAAAGCAGTTCATTCTGCCTGAGTGAAGTGGCTCATTTCTATAATCCTAGCACTTTGGGAGGCCAAGGCAGGACTGCTTGAGTCCAGGAGTTTGAGGCCAGCCAGGGCAGCATAGTGAGACCCCCATCTCTACAAAAAAATAAATTTAAATTAGCCAGACATGGTGGTACACACCTGTTTTTGAGCCCAGGAACTTCAGGCTGCATTGAGCTGTGATTGTGGCCATTGCACTCAGCCTGGGTGACAGAGCAAGAACCTGTCTCAGAAAAAAAAAGGAAACAGTTCATAGTCTAATCATATTCTATGATTAGACTGAGCCTGGGTGTTTATGATATTTTTAAGGTAGTTCTTAAAGTTTATGCCTTAGACAGGGTGTGGTGGCTCACACCTGTAATCCCAGTGCTCTGGGAGGCCGAGGTGGGAGGATCACTTGAGGTCAGGAGTTCAAGACCAGTCTGACCAACATGGCGAAACCCCATCTCTACTAAAGATAACCGAAACAAGGCTGGGCACAGTGGCTCACGCCTGTAATCCCAGCACTTTGGGACACCAAAGAGGGTAGATCACGAGGTCAAGAGATCAAGACCATCCTGGTCAACATGGTGAAACCCTGCCTCTACTAAAATACAAAAAATTAGCTGGGCATGGTGGCACGTGCCTGTAATCCCATCTACTCAGGAGACTGAGGCAGGAGAATTGCCTGAACCCAGGAGGCGGAGGTTGCGGTGAGCCCGAGATCCATTGCACTCCAGCCTGGGTAACAAGAGCGAAACTCTGTCTCTAAATAAATGAATAAAGATAACCAAAACAAACATAATTAGGCTGGGTGCGGTGGCTCACACCTTTAATCCCAGCACTTTGGGAGGCCAAGGCGGGTAGGTCAGTTGAGGTCAGGAGTTCGAGACTAGCCTGGCCAACATGGTGAAACCCACTTTCTACTAAAAAATACAAAACTTATGGTAGCACATACCTGTAATCTCACCTACTCAGGAGGCTGAGGGGAGAGAATTGCTTGAACCCAGGAGGGAGAGATTGTATTGAGCCAAGATTGTGCCACTGCACTCCAGCTTGGGTGACAGAGCGAGACTCTGTCTCAAAAAAAAGATAAATAATAAAGATTGCCTTAATATATATCCCACAGCCTAACAGGTATGTGAAGAAGCTCAAGAGGAACTAACAGATTCTTGGTAGCCCCTAGATGATGCACTTAATATTGGGGCTGGGACTGAGCTTATGATGCCTAAGTTTTCCACTTACATGCATCAGGTTCAAAATTTTGGCTTTTCAGGTGTTCATAGAAATATCTACATAACTAGATTTGTCAAATAAGTGAAAAATGGTTTTATGTTGAAACAAAATGGAAGCCTTTTTTGCGGACTGTTGGCATTTTAACTGAGATGCGAGTTTTCTAGGTTTTGAGGAACGAGATTGTCAGTGCTAAGTTTCTATGGCGAAATAATTGTTTCTAGCTGACATTGTCGGTTTAGAGTTCGTGTCCCTATTAACCCATCTTATCCAAGTGATTGCTAAGTGAAAACAGGAGAGCAATGCCAGTTTTCTTGGCTCTAAGGGACAGAGTTCCCAGATTGCCCTGTGTTCACAGTGTGGTTTGATTTACGTAGGTCTGGAAGGTGAGCGACCTGCAAGACTGACAAGAGGGGAAGCTGACAGAGATACCTACAGACGGAGTGCTGTGCCACGTGAGTAAATGCATCCTGTATTAGGGGCGTTGGGGAATGTCTGGATTCTCACAGCTGACTCTGGCTGGGGCTCAGCCCCTGATGATGACCCAATGACCAGGAAAGATTCTTGGTTTCACTCTGCAGATCATCAGAACAGCTAGAGGAGTTCTTTGTGCTGCTTTCCATATGCAGTGATTTCATAGATGGGAATTAAGAGGAAAGCCTTCTGATTTAGAGTTGGAATTTTTTAAAACACAAAACCCAGGCCAGGCTTAGTGGCTCGCACGTGTAAAACCCAGCACTTTGGGGAGGTCAAAGTGGGCAGATTACTTGAGGTCAGGAGTTCAAGACCAGTCTGGCCACCATGGTGAAACCCCATCTCTACTGAAACTACAAAAATTAGGTGGTGTGATGGTGGGCACCTGTAGTCCCAGCTACTTAGCTTAAACCTGGGAGGCAGAGGTTACAGTGAGCTGAGATCACGCAGTGATGCAATCCAACGTAGGTGACACAGCAAAACTGTCTCAAAAAAAAAACAAAACAAACAAAACAAAAAACTTCAGTTTTTTGAGTTCTTAAGGCTCCTCCTAAAGATGAGGAGCCTTCGGTATTTTTGCAAAGGAATAATGGGACTCATTTCTAAAGTCACTCACTGTTGATTGTGATACAAAAGCAAGGGGTACAAGAAGAGTTGTGACTAACAGAACAATACCCTGTCTCAAAAGAGATTTAATGATTCCTAAACCCATATTTGTTATTGGCATTTGCTTTCTTCCTCCCCGTATCCTTGTGCCCAATATGAGCCATAGATGGAATACAAAATTTCCTGGTAGCCATGCTAGAAAAAGCAAGTGGAAAAATAGGTTATTTGAGTACTAATAATGTCTATTATTTAATCAAATATGTATAAAAGTGAGCTGGGAATGGTGGTAATGTGCCTAAAGTCCCAGCTACTTGGAAGGCTAAAGCCAGAAGATTGTTTTGAACCCAGGAGTTTGAGGTACAGTGAGCTATGATCTTGTTGCTACACTCTCGGCCGGGCGCAGTGACTCACGCCTGTAATCCCAGCACTTTGGGAAGCAAGGCGGGTGGATCACGAGGTCAAGAGATCGAGACCATCCAGGCCAACATGGTGAAACCTCGTCTTTACTAAAAAATACCCACAAAAAATTGGCTGTGCATGGTAGCGTATGCCTGTAGTTCCAGCTACTTTGGAGGCTGAGGCAGGAGAATTGCTTGAACCCGGGAGGTGGAGGTTGTAGTGAGCCGAGATCACGCCACTGCACTCCTCTCAAAAAAATATATATCAAAAGTGTTAATTTAACATATGATCAGTAAACAGTAGTGAGATATTTTACTTTTTTTTTTTTTTTTTTTTTTTAATTAAGGATTTTAAATCTTGGCTGAGTGCAGTGACTCATGCCTGTAATTCTATCACTTTGGGAGGCCAAGGCAGGCAGATCACTTGAGCTCAGGAGTTTGAGACCAAGCTGGGCAACATGGCAGAACCCTGTCTCTACAGAAAATATAAAAATGAGCTGCTTGTAGTCCACCTTGAGCCCAGCAGGCGGAGGTGGTAGTGAGCTGAGATGAGGGCACTGCACTCCACCCTGGGTGACAGAGTGAGACCCTGTCTCAAATAAATAAAACTGGTGAATATCGCACACATCTCCATTTGAACTGTGACTGGCATTTGGGACAGAACAGCGTCTTGTCTACTTCTCTCCCATGGTGGTAAAGCAGCTTTTTGCTTTTGTGGGTCCTTGTTGCCTTTATATCTTAGTTCTTCCGCTAATTGCACTCCCTTTGTTATCTAGATGCTGCTCTGAAGTGGGTCAGTCAGTCAATGTGATAGGAAGTGGGAATCCTTAGGGAGGATTTGATAGTTTGGGCCGTGAGTATTGAAGAGTGACATATAAGGAAGGCTGAGAAGGGCACCCCAGGAGAGGCAAAGGTGGCTCAGAAGGTGTTTCCCTCCACTGGTGTACTTGGTGTAATTTGCTTATACTTAATGGGGTGGTACATGGCTTTCCCTGCAAGATCGGAGTCGGTGAGTTGTCTTCCCTTGTTTTATAGTAGATTCGATCATATGATGATTCTTAATCAGTATTTCACTTTCCAGCTGGTGCTGACAAGAAAGCCGAGGCGGGGGCTGGGTCAGCAACCGAATTCCAGTTTGTGAGTATCTTCCTATTAGTTTTCCATGAGTCACTTTTTCTGGTGTCAGTCTGGTTGCTCTGCAGGTTGTGAGGACGTTGTATAGTGTGGCTGGGTCCTGTCAACTAGTTCCCTCCTCACACTTTTTTTCCAAATTCCAAATACATTTTACATTGAGATGTATCATGCAAACTTTTGTATATATATAAATTACTAAAATGAGTCTCACAAATCAGTACATGTGGCCTACTGGTATTTTTTATTTTATTAATGATGGTCATATAACCCCTGAAATAGTTTTGGGAACCAGAGCTTGAGATTGAACTAAACATCTGAAGGTGGGTAGCCTTAGGAACCAAGATGGTATGAAATCAAATCTTCCATCTTTTTTCAGATGATGTAATGTTAGGTAGGTTTCCCCTCTGCCTCAGTTTCCCTATGTATAAAATAGAGGTGATAATTACAGCTACCAAGTTAGTTGTGAGATTAGCTAATCCAGGCACAGTGCTGGCATATAACTTGTCCAATGGCAGGTCCTCATAGCACGGGATTGCTCTCAGATATATCATTTGTAAAAAGGAAAACATGTACAATAGAAATGGTCCAGTCCTGTGCTGGATGCTTCCATATGAGTATGGGTGGGTGGCCATATTCCCACTTTACCAATGAGGAAACGGCCCTAGGTATTAGATATGGCCCCACATCCAGTAAAGAGCAGTGCTGGGATTTATGGCCTATACTCAGCTCTTTCCCAGCTATTTATATCTGGGGGTCCTCTGCAGCTATAATGAGGCCTGAAAGTTAGCAAAACCTCAAAAGGTCAAACCAGAACTGCTCATGCTGGTGTCATGTGCTTTCTCTTGCAGAGAGGCGGATTTGGTCGTGGACGTGGTCAGCCACCTCAGTAAAATTGGAGAGGATTATTTTGCATTGAATAAACTTACAGCTAAAAAATCTTGTGTCCAATTTGTTTGCATTGTGCAGCCTGAACAGGAACGGTTTAAGGGCAGAATGTAAGTGGGGCAGTACTGGATTGGTTTGGGGAGCTGTCATTGTCCTGGGTGACACCAGCTGTGCTGTAGTTGGCTTTGGCATGTGCCCTGCTTTCTCTAGCCAGCGCCTCCCTGCAGAGTGGTGCCCCATATGGTGCTGCACCTTGGAGGCAGTTGGAAAACGGGGTACCTTCTCCAGATGAGCCATGCTGCCTCAACCCTGTGAGGTGGGAAAGTTGCTGTTTGTCCTCGAGTCGTGATTTGTGCCTGCTGTCTGGAACTATAAGAAGTGCTGGGGAGGGAGGATGGAAAGTAACAACCAAGGAAAATGGTACACTTGGAATTCTTCAATTTATGGGGAAGAAGCACAGGAATGATGTTTAGGCCAACATTACTAATCTAAGTCTTCAAGGCTCAGGGTTTGTTTATAATAATCAATGGAGAAAAGAATGCACAAAAAACAACTGTTCACAGTGGCTGATGCCCATAGTCACAGATACTCTGAAGCCTGAGGTGGGAGGATTGCTTGAGGCTAGGAGTTTGAGACCAGCCTGGGCAACATAGCAAAACCATGTCTCCAAAAAAGAAAAGCAAAGAAACATTTTAAAGTAATGCAATTTTTTTTTTTTTTTTTTTTTTTTTTTGAGACGGAGTCTCACTGTTGTTACCCAGACTGGAGTGCAATGGCACGATCTCGGCTCACTGCAACCTCCCGCCTCCTGGGTTCAAGCAATTCTGCCTCAGCCTCCTGGGTTCAAGCAATTCTGCCTCAGCCTCCTGAGTAGCTGGGACTATAGGCACGCACCACCATGCCCAGCTAATTTTTGTATTTTTAGTAGATGGGGTTTCACCTTGTTGACCAGGATGGTCTCGATCTCTTGGCCTCCCAAAGTGCTGGGATTATAGGGGTGAGCCACGGCGCCCGGCCAGTAACCTGAAAATTTTTTTTAGGTAGAGTTTTACTCTTGTTTTGCAGGCTACAGTGCAATGGTGAGATCTTGGCTCGCCACAACCTCTGCCTCCTGAGTTCAAGTGATCCTCCTGTCTCAGCCTCCCATGTAGCTGGGATTACAGGCATGTGCCACCATGCCCAGCTAATTTTGTATTAGACGGGGTTTCTCCATGTTCATCGGGCTGGTCTCGAACTCCTGGCAGGCGTTCCGCCCACCTCAGCCTCCCAAAGTGCTGGGATTACAGGCATGAGCCACCACACCTGGCCAATATTTTTATGTGTTGATGTGATTGGAATAAATATTGGGCAGTTGGAGCTTTGCTGTCCAAGGTTCCTTGAAGAAGGAATAAGAGTTATAGTTTTCCTTGGATTTTGAGTGGTGATCACACTAGAGGTGTGTGTGTAGTTTTCTGGTGGTCAAGTGTGATCTTAGCATGGGTGCCAGAGAGGGATTGCAAACATACACCTGGCACAGTGCCAGAAGGGAGCTTGGGAGTAGCCCAGTGAGAGCTGAGACAATCCTGCAGACCTTTGCTGGGCAGGACACCGACATTGGCTTATAGATCAGTCACCATGACTATCTGCAGTAAATATAAGCTATGGGATGGAGGAGGTTAAAGCATTTGAGATACCAGCTCTGTACCAACCGGTGGCTCAAGACAGGCCCAAGGTAATGTTTTTCAGCCAGAAAAACTGGTAGCTAATTGCAAGTGCATCTTATGGGTTCTGGGAACTTGGAAATCATATTCGTGGAGTACTGTGGGCCAAGCATTGTATAGAAATGGACGATAATTGGTTAAATGGGGCCTGCCACGGTGGTTCACACCTTTAATCCTAGCACTTTGGGAGTCTAAGGCAGGCAGATCACTTGAGTCCAGGAGTTAGAGACCAGCATGGGTAACGGTAAAACCCTGTCT